TTTTTTTTTTATTTTTCAGACGGAAGACGGCCGTTTTAATTTCACTCCTATGCGCGTATGTATCGTTGTAACAAATTACGCTTGTCCGCGCGTCCTTATGGGATTCTCTCGTTACTTTGTGTCTTCTGAACGACGATTCTTTACGCTCCGTTTAATTAATACATTCTAACGAAGCGTAGAAAACAGCCACGGAGGGAAAAATATATCTGGGCTCGAAAAATGTTCCTAATTACAGAGTCGATAAGAAAGAGACTGTCCTGCAGGCTTAAAAAATTTATTTCTAAAAAGAATTAATTCTTTGGACATTTATTATTTATTTCTGAAAGTTCGTTTTCTCAAAAGATCCTTCATTCTAGTAGTCAAATGACAGAATGGGATCAACCGACGCTCCTCTCCGCAGTACTCGAGTATTTCGAGTAATTACCAATCCTAATGAAATCGGGAATCAACTTGGTTGATTTCAATCGCTTTCCGCATTCAGCCACGTGACACAAGAAATCACAAAGTGTTCGTCCCAAGTGTTCCAGTTTCGCGTTGGTCGTAACGATGGTCGATCTTCCCCGAGCTCGTTACTGAAAGGGTTAATTTCCCGTGAATCTACCAAATACCGAGAAATCCTATTTATGTATATTTCGCCGAAATTCACAACAGCCTTTTGATCTCCTGGCAAATTAACTTCTCATCCGAACGCGACTTGCGCGTCTGAGACTCTCGGTAACGGTACAATCTCTCGGAGCAATCGTTTATCCTTTAATCCGCAAGCTTCATTAAATATCTGTTCAGTACTCTGCATCGTAAACGAATCCCCCCCTTTCGCTCAAGTATTCCTTGATGAGCATCGTGGATCAATTTGAAGGGCGATGTCGCGAGGGTATCGTTGCAAACGAAGAGAATTATTTACATCTTCATTGCGATGAAATTTATTTGTAAGACAGACTCAGTTCCCGAGTGAATTGCAAATCCTGTTCAGTTTGGTAAACTTGGCATTCAACATCTAAACGTAACAATTGGAGTATTTTATCCGTGATAAATAGACATTTGAGCGAGAGTCTACTTTCGCGAGCTGGTGTAGACGAGCGATTCGCGATCTTTTCTCCATGGGAAGGGTGTGGTCGTTCCAACGATACATATGAGGTATGAATTTCGTTGGAGGTTTCGAACAAAAAGAGAAACGACCTGAGCGGTCGGTTTGTGGTACCGATCGATTTATTACGAGCGGCAACACCGCGAACACAGGCAGAAATCGATGGCCCGGAGCGACCTCATCGATCAGGATGCAATTATCCAGGATCTATCTTGGTAGGAGGTCCTGATTCCGCTCTTCTTCTTCCGAGTGCGACCGTGACGTGCGACCTCTTCTAACGAGGCTTTGTTACACGACTCCGCGTTCCCTCTCCCCCGAGAAAGTAGCTTCTCGTGTTTTCGCGTCGCGTGTTTCTGCTCGCGAAACTCGCGAGTAACTCGAGCTAACTCGTCGGCTAACTCCGCGTTAGGCGAAGAAAGCGAGAAATCACGATTCGCAGGATGAAAACAGCTGCTCCGCTCCGGCCGAGCGGAGATTCTAATCTGTGACAGGTGACAGAGAGAGAGAGAATCTTTCATACAGCGTCGCGCTTTCTTTCCTATTCGTCGAGCGAAGGAATTATTCTCCCGACGCTGCAGATGGAAACGAAGACGAAGATTTTTCTCGGCGTTTTTCTTGATCCTTTCATCTTCTTCGATCGATTCGGACACTTTCCAATTTCCGATCCGAAGCACTTGAAAAACTCGGGATTGACTTGGAATTTCCTCCGTGTTTGTAAAATTCTCTTGAACTTTCGTCGAAGTAAAAACTTTATTGTTGGCTCGAGACTAGAGAAAATTGAACGATTATTACGGGATGCCCTCCCTGCTCCTGTTCCCAGATTATCGTGGCTGAGGCAGCAACAGTTGAAACTCGCGGCGAGGCGGGATGAAAGGAACCCGGGGAAACTTTGGCGACAGGAGACTGGAAATCGCATGATCGGCGAACTGAGAAGCTTACAGAGAGGCAGAATAAGGCACGACGGGTATGCGAGTGACTCCGCGGTGCTTGACGACGACGACGACACGTGGATTGTCAACCCCACTTCCGGACAGGTGAGAAATGAAGACGATGACACAGTCGTCGTCTTTTTTTTTACTTTACTCTAACATTTCCTTTACCTCTGGTAATT